GTGCAGTGGCCTGGTTTCTTAAGTTGAAAGATTTGCTTAAGGAACTGAAAGCAAAGAGAAAATAAACAAACACATTACATGGTGAAAGCAGAGTGAATCAGTTCAAAAAGGCTTTCAAAGGAACACAGCTAGTCTGTGAAGATTTAAATGAAGCAGAAACTGAAGTCGTGAAGTACTGTCAAAAGAAAAGTTTCAAAGAAGATTTGACAATGCTAAAAGAACATCAAAGGGTAAAGAAAAACAGTTCACTCTACAAGTTGAACCCAGTACTCCAAGAGGGAGTCATTAGAGTTGGAGGCAGGTTGAGCCGTGCGGCAATGCCTGATGATTGCAAGCAGCCAGTCATCTTGCCAAAGGATTCACACATCACAAAGCTTGCGATAAGACACATTCCCGATTTAACAGCTCATGCTGGAAGGAATCACATGTTGGCTCAATTGCGTCAAAGATTCTGGATACCTGGAGCGAATGGAGCCATCAGGAAGTTCTTGTCGAAGTGTGTCCCCTGTAAAAGGTTACATGGAACTACTGGCAAGCAGCTCATGGCAGATCTACCAGAATGCAGGGTCCTGCCTGACGATCCTCCATTCACAAGAGTAGGTGTTGACTACTTTGGCCCATTCCTGGTGAAAAGAGGAAGAGGGCAAATAAAGAGATATGGTGTTATCTTTACGTGTCTCGCCATACGAGCAGTACATCTGGAAGTCGCATCTTCACTTGACACAGATGCGTGCCTCAACGCGATCAGGAGATTCCTTGCAAGAAGAGGACAAGTCAAGGAGATTTACTCGGATAATGGAACAAACTTTCGGTCGGCTGACAGTGAGTTGAGGAAGTCAATCCAAGAATGGAACACCAGTAAGATCGCTGATACCTTGCAACAGAAGGGTGTCCAATGGCACTTTAATCTTCCTTCTGGTTCTCACCATGGAGGAAGCTGGGAGCGGCTGATACGCTCAGTAAGAAAAGTTCTTAACATCACGGTGAAGGAACAGGTTCTTGATGAAGAAGGTCTCCATACCTTGCTGTGTGAAGCAGAGGCAGTCATAAACAGCAGGCCCATCACAAAGGCATCTTCAGACCTCAATGATTTCACCTGTTGTTACTGAAGGTTAAACCAGAGTTACCTCCAGGTGTTTTCAACAAAGACGACCAGTATGCTAACCGCAGATGGAGTCAGGTCCAATATCTTGCGGATGTCTTCTGGAAACGCTGGTGCAAGGAATACCTGACACAGCTCCAAGAACGTCAGCGATGGTTCACGCCTGGAAGAAACTTTTGTGTCGGTGATGTGGTGCTGATTGTGGATGACACTTCACCGAGAAATTCATGGCCACTTGGAAGAATCATGACAACCCTGCCCGACAAGAAAGGCCTTGTTCGCCAGGTGAAAGTAAAGACCAAGACTAATGAGCTATGGCGTCCAATAACCAAGCTTTGTCTTCTTCAAGAAACTGAGGACACTTGATCTGTGCTGGAAACCAAGCCCTCAATTAGGATGAGGCATTGATGATAATGGACTAGATCCTAAGCCAAGTATTTGATGGGATGAAGAACAACAAGAAGTTTTCTTTAGTTTAACATAGCATGTGGGCTCTTTTGATTTAAGTTAATGTTTTGAGTAATTGTTTCAAGGGCATTGATAACATATTGTAGGAGCCTTATTGCTCATCATGTTAAATTTATGGATGCATGTAATACTTTTTGTTCATTGGATCTGGGAAGGGGAGGGGCTTGTGGACTTAATTGGGCTCAGTTCGGCTAGTAGAGAGTGGAGCCACACAGTCTTTTGACCTCTCTCTCCTCATCTTCTTTTTGTATAGTTTTGGACTAACCTGTATCTGTTTTTTGTTTATTTATGTTTAAGTAAACATTTAAAATTTGATCATTTGGTCCCGTGGATTTTTTGGATGAAAATTGCTTAAGAGAGGAGTTCTGGGAGCGTCAAGCTAGCATCAAGCTTCATTCAGAGGATAACTACAACATGTGTTCTGCACTTTGGGCACTGGTGAGGATGAAGACAAGACACAGAATACTTTTAAAACAGTGCACTTGAATTGAAAATTGAATTCTGAAATACTCCACTACTGGACGACTCACTGGCTTAATTTCAAAGAATTCTGCAGCAGTCAGACGGGCAATGGTCTCTTCAAAGTACTCCATTTCCTTAACAGTCAAAGCCATCATTTTGCAAACCTCCTGGTACGACACGCCCCTAAATTTGAAGTGCTCACGTATTCTGATCTTTATGGTAAATGCTCCAGACTGCAGAGCGAGCAGGAGGAACAGACAGAGAGAGCGAGTCCGTTATTAATCTCCTTTTCCAGGCAAAAGTGATAAATGCCGAAGTCTTACTGTAAAACCGGCTATGAGATACACGTGTATGAAACAGGAGTAAACAAAATACTGTATACTGTTCAGGGAATAGCTAAGGAGGTCGGTGAAATTATTGTGAGAATAATACTGCGAGTCTGCAGTAACTTCCGTTTTTCAAAATGAGGTGTTTGTAGGAGCCATTTTGTGTTTATCGTTGGCATGTTTTATAATTAGACTTATCTGAATATATTATTTTCCAATAGGGACACTGAATGCACAGGGGCGTGTCTATATAGTAGCACAGGTGACAGGAAAGGGAGGGCACAGGTACGGGGAGCACAGACAGTTCTCACCTCATTCATGTTTCAGACCAGCACTCAGACAAACGACAATTCATTCATTCTACTGGCTACGCTTCACTGGAAATTGTATGTTTTTTGTTCTCATATCTTCATCAAGTCACTTCAATAAACCTTCAACTCAACTTTAATAACGGCTGGAAAATCATTGTTTGCATCTGCGTGAGACTTAACCCCTACCTGTGTATTAATGGCAATAATTGGAACAAAGGTAAAAATTGCCATTACAGTGTTCACAATTTAAAAAACAGTTTTCCTGGGAAAAAAATATAAAAAAATATGTTCTTCCATAAGTACACCATGATTCTGATATGGTTGGACTTAGTACTTCTTAGACTACATGCACATGTACTATGAAGTACTTTTACAGTGAACTTTTTGAGAAATCCACTGTCAAAGTCCATAATAAATCACTATAATGAGTCTTTTTTTCTGATTTTGATGTCTGTTTAAAACATTTTCCTCCATAAGTACACAATGATTCTGATATGGTTGGACTTAGTACTTCATAGACTACATGTGTGGGTACTATGAAGTACTTTTACTTCATAGTAAGTAAAGTTAAAGTTAAAGTTCCTCCAAGTAAAGAAAAAAATCAACAGTAGTTTGGATAATAATTCTCATTGTCACATTATTTCAAAAAGAAATGTTTAAAATTTAATTCCGTAATTTTACTTATTTAGATAACAAAGTTGATCTTGCTGAATGGTTACTTTTGACATTGGTAACTTAACATACACACTTTCTTATTTTGCAATTGAATCGACAATCATGAAAGATTAAGCTTTCCTTAACTGCTGATTTCATTATACTCATCCTTGCGTCCTTTTGCCCCCTAAGCCTAATATTTTGGCCGACGCTGCTCACTGCCAGACAGATGCACTTGGACGACCTGTGGCCGGGGTGGTGGTCATCTGCAGGGAAAGACTGAAAGGAGAAACGTTTAGTCATCAGGCAGCTGTACAGGTATTATTTTAAATATGAAAAAAACAAAAATGTTCTCAGTAGTTTGAAATTGTGTGTTGAATCTTGTGTGTTCATGTTACAGACTGTGATCCATGAGCTGTTTCATGTGCTGGGTTTCTCTAAAGAGCTCTTCCACACCTGGCAAGACTGTTCCTCCATGTCTCAAGGTTTTTTTTTTAACATAATTGTTTTATGTAATTATATAATACTTTGAGGTCAGCATGTGAAGTGGGCTCAAAAGTGTGCTGTTTAAGTGCCCTTAACAACTCTGAAGTGCCTTTAAAAGTGTGCTCTTTATAGGGCATTCTGAAGTGGGCACACTTTTAAGGGCACTTAAAGTGTGCACTTCAAAATGTGCGCTATTAAAAATGTCACTTTGAAGAGACCTTAAGTTTAAACTTTGAAGTTCCCTTAATAGTGTGCTCTCTTAAGTACTGTTTAATGTGTGGCAGTAAAGTGCCCTTACAATTGTGCAATTAGAAGTTCACGAAAAAGTGTGCACTTAAGTGGGAACTCAAAAATGTATAATAAGAAGTTTGGATTAAGATTGAACTTTTAAGAGCACTTAAAGTGTACACTTTGAAGGGCCCTTAAAAGTGAAAACTTTTAAATATACTTTAAATTGTTAACTTTGACATATACTTCAAAATGCCCACTTCAATTGATTTACTCAAAATGTGGCACTTTAGGTGTGCACTTTACAGTACACAAAACATTGGAATCTTTAAGTATACTTCAAAGTGTGCTTAGATATCCATGTGACTTCACATGCTTTTGAAAGTGTTTTTAACCCTGGATGAAAAATTGTTCTTGTTTTTTTATTTTTTAGCTGAGTGCCGACTGTTCTCCTCAAGGGAAAGTGACCTACTCTGATGGATCCGGCCACATGAGGATTTACACCCCATCTGTCATCTCAGCCCTGCAGAAGCACCTGAACTCCACTGATCCTGAGCTTGGGGGATGGCTAGAGAACCTTGTACAGAACAGCGCTTCAATTCAAATCCTTTAGCAGAGCTGCAGAACCGCTCCAACTTAACCAGATTTGTCAAGAGGCCTCCCTTATATGATCTTCTACTTTGTTAATGCAGGGTGTACTTCCTGGCAAAGTGTCCTCACACTGGGAGTCCAGGATCTTTCAGGGCTCCATCATGGCAGCAGAGCTAGCGGACTCATCTTCAGTCCGGATCAACCCGGTAACCTTGGCTGCATTACAGGACACGGGCTGGTACAATGTAGACGTGAGCAGTGCACAGAGTCTGGTGTGGGGAAACGGTAGGTATAGAAAAAGAATAAATAAATAAATAAATAAAACATAAAATAAAATATATGATAAATGTTTGATTTGTAGGAGAAGGGGCCATGTTTGGATCCCTGTCAACCTGTCAGAACAAATCCTCATCGTTTGTCTGCTCTGGCAGGTATATTAAGTTATAATTGTTTATTTCCACAACATATAGTCTAGATAGGAATGTAAGCCACTTTTTAATTTAAAATGTTACATTTTCAGCACTAAATGTTTGCATTTTTTCTTCTTCTCAGTGGGTTTGGGTGTCATTACCTTCACCTCCACAAAGGGGAGTGCAAGACTGATCAATACCAGGAGGGATGCAGAGTGTATAAACCCCTCAAAAATGGAGTAAGAAGTATTTCCTGCTCTGTAGTAATTTCAAATGATGTAAAACAGCTTTGTGGGATCAATTGTATTTTTCATGCCAACGCTTTCAGTCTTTTTTTATGTTCATATGAGCATCACGTTTACCCTCTCCACCTTTTCCCTTCAGAGTGAGTGCTGGAAAAAGGAAAACCCCAGGCGGTCAGCTGAAGCGGACTCGACTGGGGAGATCCTTGGTTTTGACAGCCGATGCTTCTTCTCCAGTCTGACCAGACAGGTGTGTACACGTGTGTTTTCACGCGTGCATGTGAGTGTATTAATGTGTTTTATTTCCCTCTCATATTAAGTTGATTATAAAGTCATTTTTTTCTTCACTTGTCTCTTGTTTAGAACCGGAGTCAGTTTCCTTCGTTCATCAGCACAGTGGAGGGGCGCTGTTACAGACACAGGTGTACTGGACCAAACAGGTACCAAATCCACGTGTCAGGCTCTGAGTGGGTGGAGTGTCCAGCAGGGGGAAGCATTCAGGTTATGACATAAAAAAAATACAGAAACAGAACACAGTTTTAAAGTACTGGTGGTGTGGAGAAATACTTTTCATACTTCTACATTACTCCGACATATTTGAATGTTTAATTTCACAGTTGCAAAATAATAATTGTAAACAAATCAGTACAACATAGTGCCAAGGGACTGCAGATGTAAACTAGCTCTAAGCTGACTCTGGTACAATGCATCAAATGGAAACATTTATGTTTAATATTGTACATGGTCCCTTTACAAATAAAAAGTTAAGAAAAGAAAGGGAATGACTTTCCTTAACGATAAACCTGGCTAAGACTTGATTAATAATTTACATTTAGACAAGATTTGGTGTGATTGACAAAACAGGTTACTCAATCTGAGTAATTCCTATATTTAAACACTGTGCACCATTAAAAACAGCAGCTGATTTATTGCCTTTCTAAAGTAATAGTATAATGTTTGTATGTAGTGAAGCATGTCTTGTGTTAAATGTGCAGTCTATTTAATGTAACCAGATGTAATCTAATATCTTTTGTGTTTTTTTACGGTCAGATTGAAGGATACCAGGGTTCAGTTTCCTGTCCTGACAGGAGGTTGTGTCTGTACTCTGACATCACTCCTCCTTCAGACGCCGTCGATACATTTCCTGCTTCCATCATCAGGTGATTGTGATTCTAAACAAGCAACAACACTCGCACTTTCTATCAACTTTGAGCTCGTTCTAACTTCACTGTATTTCTTTTTTGGTCAGAGATCCATATGGGACTTTAACTTCAGCCCAGACCTGGACCTCTTTGTCCTTCGGTGTCAAAACATCTCTCAGCATCACTGCTGCCGTGTGTCTCCTGGCTGCAGTCTTGGTGTCTTACAGAAAATGTTGCTCCTGCAGGATCAGGATCCACACCAGCACAGATGAACACAGTAATCTGTAGGAAACACAGCCTCTAAAACCGGCTTTATAAACTTTAATTGTTCAATAATTTTGTTTGTCTCTTCTTAGTAATTTATCTGAAGGCTGTGTTGTAATTGTAGAGTTATTCAGTCAGAGAAAAAATGCCTTTTTATGACAATTTTTATTGAACAGAGTAATGTGAAAACATAAAGATAATCTGCTGTGATCAAACGCAGCTCAAAAATATCAATCAGCTGGTTTCTCACCCTACATACATTATATTGATCAGAAATGATACCAAAAAAACATAATGAGGAAACATGGCCAAACCAAAAAACAGTATCTATATATATATATATGACCCTAACAGAAAAACTAAGATGAAAATGATAAATGAAGTGAAATTAAACTCAATTTGGAGTATAATATTATTCCCAATTCTAACACATGTACAGAGAAGTTTGGGTAGAATACAGACCCCTTTTTGTGTTACCACCACTTAGCAAAATATTACAAGAAGTAGTAATCCCTGAGTTATAAACTGTCATTGTGTGAAATAAACTGTATAATTATGGATGCTCAATGTGTCTTGAGAATCAAATAAATCACTAAGCCCTCCATTTTCTTAACTATCACTCCAATTATTTCCATGATGGTGAAAGAGATAAAACTTGAAGTCAGTATGAAATATTTTAAAATAATGATTGCACTCAGTGAATGTCTTTCAAACCAGTTGTTGGCAGTTTTCAAGCTCCCCTTCTAATTTTAAAGCAGATCCCATATGGCTCCCTGAAAAAGTCCAAACAGTCCTCAAACACTGTCACCTTCACAAACTGGCTTGAGATCAGAATATACCAATAAATTCAGTCTTTACTGAATACTGTGTTGCATTTCATAAAAATATACATTTGGCTGAAAACTGCTGTTTAACCATAACTGATTATATTCTGTTGCATTTAATAATCTACATTACACATGGGCATGTGTCACAGGCGGGGTAATTCACCATATTCCCATGATGTCATGCTCAGAGTGAGAAGCTTACCTTTTACTTCTGTGATCTAGATTGTAATTCATATAAATGCAGCAGAATGGCTTGTGATATGAAATGAGGCTCTTTATAGAGTTGAACTAGTTTGCTCTTTACACTGTTTGATTCTGCAGCTTTGCGAAAGAAACCCTGCTGGCATTTGATCAGGCTGCACCAAGTTTAACATTGACAGTTTTCCTACTTAAGGTACATGCTGAAGTGACAGTCTGCTACATTGCTGTAATACATCCCCCCACAGAAAAATAAACTACAGCATTGTTAATTCTTTCACACGTCATCTTATTTCCTCTTCCATACTGGTATAGAGGTCTGTCTTGGGGCGACACCATCAGTGCAAGCACTGTAATATGAATAACAGACTGCAGAGAGCTTCAAGCACACAAAACAGAACTTCTTCTTACACCGGGTACAGACGATGCTTTTGCAGTGAATTGTGCTGTGCTCGATCAGAAACCCACAGGTGGGACAGGCACGGACAGAGGGACAGCTGGTCACCATCTTAACATCCTTTAAGGTGATCTCGGGACACTTTCTCAGGATTTCCAGTGGCTGATTAACACATTCAGGGTTTGCACAGTGGTCAGCATGTTCAGATGGATGTGTCCATTTCTTCAAACACTGCCAGCAGAATTCGTAAGCCCTTGCTTTGTTACGTGTGCACACTGTGCAGCAAACCCTCAGGTCATTCTGGTCCTCTCTCACCACTAAACTCTCACAGCCGGGACACTGTTGAGTGAATTTGGTTGAAAATCAAACAAATAATAAAAACATCTTCAGTATGAATGCACAATATCTCTTAGAACCTGTGATTGGTAGATACTTACTTTTTTGGCACCAAAGTATTCTTTGGCGACTCTATTGAACATTCTTTTATCAATGTATGTTGTTTCTGCAGGAGTCAGCAGAGCCATTTTGCAAACCTCTTCAAATGACCACACAGCATCACATAGGCCACAAACAAACTCCATCTTACCCTTGAGAATTAAACAGAAAATCAATCAAATGTACTTAATTGCCACTGTCCTTTACTTTTACCACCATGAATTAAGTGACAGATGAAGAGCTGAAAAGAAGTCCTTAATGTTATCAAATAATAGACATTTAAAATCCTCATGCCTTAAGAGACACGAAGTGGATTCAAACAAAAAATAAAAAGTAAATCTACTGCTCATAGTTCATAAGATCCATAGCTCTAGAACAAGCCTGACAATCAACCTAATAGTTGTTTTCCAGTTTTGAAAATGTGGAGAAACATAACAAAATAATAGTTTTCTAATACCTGGTCCAGCTGCCTGCGACACCAGTTGATGAGAGACGTTGGAGTCACAGTATGACCACAGGACATCTTTGCTCTGAGAGACTTGTAGTCATTGAGCTCAACTAGAGGAGAAAAAGAGCAACAGACAGTGGTAGTTAGTTTTGTATTTAAAGAATGACACCCAACAAGGTGTCAGGTCAGGTATCAGGAATTTATGGACGGAGAGGAGATCAGGACAGCTGTTTTTCAGAGTCTAAAGTCCCTTCATGAAGAACACCTTGAAGTGCATCATTTACCTTATACCACGGTCGATTGCTAAACAGGATAAGGCATACTGCTGCCTGTAGTTAACATTAACTCTGTTTTCCTGCTCACGCCTCAGGGTTTGACTTATTCCTGAAAAAAGGACATATCCCAAAATGTTCTGCTGCAATGAAAACATTAAACACTTCTTCTGTGAGTAGGCTATAGCAACAAAATACAAAAGGCTGTAGGCTGCTTTACAATTACAACTTTACAACTAGGCTATCGATTTTTCAGTAGCCTAATTAACTGAAAACCTCCAAATAACCTTAAAATATTAAGTATAGGCCAATTCACCTTATTATAGGCTATATGTTTAATAAAATTCAGATTAATTTGGGGGTTCTGTTCTCTTACAATCCATTTGATCTTCTCCATCGACGAATGTAAACCTTGTGTCATTTGGGTCGTAACACCTCTCCTCCTGTTCAGCTGTCAAAGTGCAATTCTCTGGTTGTAAATCAACATTTGGTCCAGTTTCCAAATTGTCCGATGAGTTACTTGGTTCAGCATCAAACGTTGATGGAGTTAATTTTGTCCTCACTCTAGGTCGTAGCGCCGCGTTCGCATGGGATAAACATCTCCTGCTTGCAGCTGGGTTCCTTGATTTTGTCTCCGTTTCCAAAGATCTTCTCCTGGGAGCAGTTCCAACTTGTCTGGTCTGTGTTGGCTCCGTGGATCTTCGTTGACGTGGCGGATTGTTCCCCATCTCGACTCCGTCTCAACAACGGATGTGTAGCTCCAGTAGTTTATTCACCTGTCTAGAAGTCACATGATGTCCAATCAGCTCATAGGTGACGCATTTCAGATATCCTACACACCCTCGTTAACCTTTTAAATGCACTGGGATCGTTTGCACTTGGACACGTCTCTTGCAGTGCTCTGATCTGGCTTGGTTGCAAAATGGGGATCCAGGTGAATGTACACGGTCCCAGAGGAGAAGAAAAGATCATCGATCTGTGTGACAACATTGAGCAGATGAAGAACATCACTGTGGAGCAGCTTAAACGGAAAATCAGAAACGACCTCAGGATAAGTACGTCTCACTTCATTTTCAGTAGTAGTAGTTGTCCCCTATTTCTTAATTGTTATATGACTATTATAACATAGGCCTACCCACGCGGAAAAATACATTTGTTTTTCTGACAGATCAGAAAACATTTATCGTTTTATTAGCCTTAAACTTCTGAATGTGTTTATCTATAAAAGCCAGACCTGAGTTATTTTTATTTCTGCTCAGAGGATGATGTCCGGATTGTGTTCCGAGCCGAAACCCTGGAGGAGTCAACTCTGGTGATGGCTTACGGGATCCGTCACCTTTCTACCATCCACACTCTTATACTTCTGCCCGGAGGAAACTGATGTGGAACCATTGACTGTGTATCAAAATAATATAAATGTGGAAAAGACAAAGAAGAAAAAAACACAAAGACTCTGAACTACACTGCTGTCATATGTTCCATATGAACTGCAGGAAAATAAATTGTTGAATTTCCCTTCTCTTAAAACCTCTTTGTTTTGAATTTGTCAGAAAATCAATACTCTGAATATGTAGGCCTGTACATATCCTACGTTTCACAGCATTTGAATGTTGCAATCTAGATTACATGGAAGTAGTCTAAATGCAGTAAAAGGACAATAAAAATGACGCAAATGACCCCAAGCTATAAAACTCTTTATTGTTGAGGTTTCAGAATGGAGATAGCCTAAAACACAGTGCTGGCTGTTAAGTTACTGTTATCATACACTATTTTAATTATTATTTTAGAACCATGCAATTGCTCAGGTTGAATCTGATTGAATCTAAAAACGTCTTTTAGCATGAAACAGAACAAGAGCTCTGTATTTTAAACATTTTATTAAGAGTTCAGTTATTTGAATTTGTCTTTATTTTTCAGTTACAATTTTGTTAAAATTGTTTTCTCAATATATGACGATCATCCTGTGATTTCCATTTCTAAAATCATTTGAGCTGCATTTCATGTATGACAGCTTTTATAATGTACGTTAACAAAAACACACTGTAGGCCTACAGTACTTAATGTTATTAAAGCCTGCAGGGACAGAGAAGCAGTAAATACAATACAAATGATCTGTTTTCTCCTGCCTTGCAACAAAAATGGAAAAGATAATAAACTAAACTAAACTCAATGTTTGTTGACATCAATAACAGATGAAGAGAGGGCTTCTGCAGAAGAAGCCAAATTGTCATGTTATGTTACTGTACAGTAATGTATGAAGCAGCTGTGAATTAAATTCCCTTAACTTATGATGTGTTAAAAAAGAACTCAATGAATGAATTTTATGGTGACTTCCCCACATTAGTTGATGGTGAGCAGCAGGAATTAACGATACATCCTACATTAATTCATGCATCATGCATTAATTCAGCATCAATTAAGTATAACATTTGTATAATGATATAAAAGTTTACCCTGATTTAGTTTAATGCTTTTCATACTTTTGGATTTTAACACCAAAAAGGAACGTACAGTTAAAAAGTACATCACTATTGTATTTCTTTAAAGTCAGAAAGGAGATATCCTGCTATTCCTCACAGAAGAAAACATATCAAAGATATATGAAACAAGGTTTTTAATAGACATAATATAGACACTTGTCATATATATAACAACTTGTTATATAACCACTGGAGTTTCCAGAATTGCCATGCCTTTTTTTAAATTCATTATTATTTGTTGGCATGTGCAAAAACAAAAAAAAAGGTAATGGAAAGAATAGTTGACATAAAAAAATGAAACGAAACTCAAAGCAAAGCAGGCGTTGTCAGGTAATTGTTGCTGACTTATCCTCAGGCATTTTCTCATTACTGGAATTAAAGGCAAAAATAGAACTAAAAAAGTTTGTTGTGTGTTAAGAAGGATATAATCAATAAAGGTGTGTGAACAGGTGTGTCTTGATCAACATGAGGTAGGACCTTCACCTGAAAGAAGTTGAACAACATTCTGGCAGGTAAGTGGTTTATTCTGGGAAAAGGAGTAACAGAAAGTCATTAGTCTGAGGGTGGATTGGTATAATAAAAGCATGATGCTCACCACTGACTTTACAGGCTGAATGCCATATGATAATTACACTTTGTCATGTCATCTGTGGTGGCCAGGGTGACAGGAAAGGGACAAATTATACATTTCAGAAGAAAATTAAATGCAAAAAAACCCCTTCATAAACTAATAACAATTAAAACAGTACACTTTGAGAACTGATTTGATACCTTTGGGGCACAATGGCTCGTCACTGGGGCAGCACCCTAAAGGCACCACTGGCTTGTCCTTGATATGGGGTACTTCAATGTACCCTGGTGGTTTTTACCTCAAAGAGACCAAACTTGTATCTCTGGTGAGAAGTGACACTTTTGTACCTCAATTGATCACAACAAATATGTCTGCCTTTTCAAAGGTTACAAAATTGACTTTAGCAGGGTACAAAAAGGTGCCCAGGTAATACTGGTAAACAAGTTTTATGTTTGCATATACAAGATGGAAACAGAAACAAATGTGTCACTGTTCAAATAATCTATTCAATTATTTTCACGTTTAACAATTTAACTAATTTCGTATTGAAACACAATGTTAGATTGTGACATACTGACTATTCTTTAAAGAACAGGTGTTATTTGCCAACAAATTTAAGTAAACACACCAATTTTGATGTCTGAGCAAAAGTATCGATGCAACTGCAAAAATCCCAAATCCAGCCAGCGATAGGCTGTCTTATTATTGTGCTCCATTTTTTCAAATACAATTGTTTCTTAAATTAAGAGCCACTTAAAAAACAAAAGATAATCTTTCTAACCACCTAAATCATTTCGTTCATGTTCATAACACTTAGAAGACTCTGCCTGATAATAGATGAGGGCGGCATTAAATGAAATGTGGGAGGTAGGCTGTGGCCCAGGACACGACGCAAGCTGTCTGTCAATAATAGGCACCAGTAGAAGAAGACACATCCTCCACTACAGGCTACTGGTTACTGGTTTCACGATGTGATCGCAAGCCGTTTGTAAGTGTCTTTTTCTCTTTGTTTGCAACCTAGGCTAAGTGTTTTAATCATGCTGTTTTAAACTGATTTGAAGAACCGACTTGTATTTAATATCTGCGGATAGTTATTTGTGTTTCATTTGTAAGGAGTTTATTGGCTGTCATTTCCCACCCGTATTAAATGTGTGGATATCTAGTTAAGAATTATTGTATGAAATGTAAGATAGTGGCAAATCTTCTATCCGTGTTACCCCTTGATTAATTTACGCAAACGTCACGTAAACTAGAACACTGTAAGCGCAACAATGTCTGAACGATAACTGGGGTTTATTGAAACGTTTTAAAGAAGTCTTTCTCTCTCGTTTGGATTTGCACTTCTAATCCCGTGTGCAGACTTTCTGGGCTACAACAGGAATCATTAAACTGTTCTTCTTTTCAGACGCATGATGGGGAGTCGCACAGGTACGAACCAACAGTAGCATATTGAATTCCTGAGAAACGAAAAGTTAACCTCAAAATTAATTGTTTGAAATATGTCTTCTGCTTATTTCTTTTTTGTAGGACGCGCTTTGCCACCGTGAGTATTCAATGCAGGACTTTGCTTTATCTCTGACATCAAATACTAAGTAGTAATATTGGAGGGAATGAGATTGAAGAGGATAGAATATTCAGGGGAAAGGGTTTATTTTAACATAGGCACCAGGTACCAGAGATAAGAGTGTATTGTGTTTGTGCTTCGTCATTAAACAGAATTATAAACTAGGGCTGTTTGGGAAAATAAAGTTGAAATTGTAACATTAGCATGCATGTCTGAAACGGAAATGAATCAGTTGCCTGAATTAAAAGTCATATAGTTTTATTCTGTTATCTTCAGGGAAGAGACAAGTGAAGTGAGCTCATGAAAATAAACAAGAAAAGAAATGGACTCAGAGAAGGAAAAAAAGGTAAGGAGAAGAGATACATATGATTCAAATGGCAATCATTGACATTAAAGCTCCTGTGAGGAATTTTTATCTGGTTGTAAAACAGACTGAAATTAATACTGAGGCATATTAATGCTTATTAACGAAGACAAGGAAATGAGTCACAAGACTGACTCTTACTAAAGAGTACATTTGAATGCCTGAAACTGCTGTCACAAGGTGTCAATTCAATTCAATTCAAAAAACTTTATTTGTCTCCGGGGGACAATTCAAAGGCACACAGAGCAGTAAATTAACAACAGTGCAAGCAAATGAAACATTTTAACCTAAATATAAAGTGTCAATTTAAATACAACTTAAAGCTTAAACTTAACTTAAAAATACAAAATATAAAAGAGTAGATATAAGTGGACAGTGATCGGACTAACAGTTGTAAACAGATGTAAACAGAACTATGTGCAGTAAACGAGAAATAAATATATACATACAGAGCTATGTGCAAGTAGGCTAAATACTAAATGATAAGTTAATAAGGTGCATGGTGAATAATGGAACAATAGAACTAATATATACAATATAACTGTAAAGGTAAAAATGAGATAAATAAAGTGACCGTAGTGCAATGATGGATAAGAAACAACAGGAATAAATTAACCAGAACTGTATGAATACTGATATAAAATGGATAGAATAAAGTGATGTAGTGCATGAGACCAGATAAAGCAGAGGCAGTTAAGGTGCACGGCAAATATAAAGGAAGTAAAAAAGCAAAGTTCACAGCTGAGAGTCTGCATTGGGTGAGAGGTGTTGGTGTCTGTTGGGGGGGTT